GTTCCAATGGTTGCGCTCTCTGTATCGAGAAGCGACTCAGATTGCGAGTAGACTTGGAATCCGTGAGCTCTCGCCGACGGAAGAAGTCACAATAACGCACATTTTCTCACTTGTACTGCTCGAGCGGCTCAAAGGTGTGTCTGATACCATCGATTCCTAGGAGAGCTCTTCTTCGGGTTGTGTGGAAGCCGAAGGCGCCAAACAAGTCCCATCCGATGTCTTTGCACTCGCACAGTGTCAGTGGAGACGAAGTCAAGACTCTTACACGGTACAGGACACACCTTCGCCAGATTCTTCTCCCCGTATTTGAAGACTTGCAGTTCTGTTTGACGTTTCGGCTTCTCCAGGTGCGCTCACGGTTTTGGTTCCTGCAACAGTCGAACACACGCATCACATATAGCGTCCGCAACGGGTGTAATGCTGTCGTGACGAAACGGTTCTTGTTCTTCGAGTGTGCGCTCACATCAAGGCTGTGGGAACACTTCGAGAACATGTTAGCGCCCTTTGACCGATCTCATTTGACTTGGACCATGATAGTAATAGCGAAGCAATTAGTCGTCCAGGGAGTAAAAGGAGTGCGAGGACGTGATTGAAGACGTTTGGCACACGCTTCGCACTGCAACTCTTCACTTTGTCTGGTCGGACTGCAATCGGTGGTTGTTCGATTCGAGACAGCCCACACCAGCGACGCCAGCACTCTTCATGGTCTTGTTGGTTGCATGCGCGCACTTCCGATGTAACTTGAGAAGGCGCTATAATGCTGTCGAGAAAATTGGGAAATACATTTCAGCCATGAGGAATGTTGCGCCCTTGGGCGATAACACGGCATCGAGCCCAGCCTAAATATCCACTCGGTGTCGCCTGTTAAAATAAAGTCGAAGATCTTGTTCACTAACAAGACCTGCATGCGACGAACGAAACGAAATTCTTTAGGCACAACACTGGTTATGGTAAACATGGATATATTACGACATTACATTACTCGATGCGGATGCTGCCTGGTCCAGCACTCGCCCTTTCGGGTAGTACCGCACATCGCTGTAAGTTCCTGGGGCGCTACACCCCGCCGCTGAAAGCCGTGTCTTACGAGTCCATCCTGTGCGCTGAGTAGGTCGGCATTGGATCATGCACCGCGCTTGAATCCGGAGTTGGCGGCGCCTGCTATGATGGTAACGAACAATGACAGTTAAAAATAATACTCTGTGGGTATACAGCAATTCTGGTTACCTGCGGAAGAGGGGTTTTGACAAACCCAAGGCCAGTGTGGTCGCCTTGACCACACAGGAGCCTCCTGTGTGGTCTGCGAGACCTGAGAGGCCAGTGGTATTAATACTACGATGTGGCATGAGAGGGAAGCCATTTTTCAACCCATCTACCAAGAGTGTGGTCCGCCCTACTACACGATCTGCCCGTTGCGAAACGACGCAGCAGTGTGCTGGGAGACCGGACAAGCGTTAAGGAGATTCAGGTCTCTGTATGTGTAATGACGCATACAATGGGCGCTGCCTGTTCTACAGATGTGCTTCAAGTTTCAACTACTGAATTGAAGCATCCATTGAGATATGATGCCACGCGTGAAGGGTTCAAAAGGCAATTTTCTGCGAGAGTTGAAGTCAAGACGGGGGCAAAATGTGAACCTAGAAACCCACAAGACCGCTGTTTGGCCAAAATGGCGGCTAAAACCGGCAAAAAAACTATACAGAGAGTAGCACAGATTAATTTAGCCAAGCAAATTGTAAAATTTCTTGTCTAGCTCAAATTCGCTAAGGTCCCGTAGCTGTTGTACATTATTTTAGTCATACCTAAACTTACGTAGTCAATATGCCTAACAATCGAAAATAAAAAAACAAAGTCTTATTAGAGCTTATATACCATTTCCGCTTTCCGTTCTAGATGTGGGGTATAAGATTCGTATTGTCAATATAGATATATCATTTTATAGCAATAGCTGGTACGATTATGCTGCTCCGTTGTAATCACTTAAGTTCGGGCGTAATGAGCATCGTAGTGATCTACTACTATGTACGATAGCAAAGAAATGGTACATCAAATGGATAGGTCTGCAGGACATGTGAGCTGCTAGCCTTACCCAATGCATTGATCAAGATTTTTTGACCACCAAGTGACAAGTGTACATGTCTATAAGATAAATGTTGGCTTGCTACATGAAAACCCACGAAAAAAATGAGCGTATTCAGTATTGAGTACTTGGGATAAGAAACCTCCGCAACCTGATGATTTAATTTGGGTTTCGAGTAGCTTGATTTGTTGATGATCCAGCCATAAGTTAATCTACGGATCCGGAAATCTTACCCTGAACAATTATTGAGTACACATTTTGCTTCTCTTGCTAAGCTTTAGCGTCTTAGGCCTGCACCGCAACGCGGCAGATAGTATTCGATTAATTGACTTCAAACTCAGGGCGTGCTTAGTCGAAAGCGACTTTGTCGTAAGTTATTGGGATTCGCTCGATCTTCTTTGCCTCGCTGAATCAGGTACAGCTCATCCGTAATTGGTTGGACGTTGTTGTGAGTGTGTCTCCGCTCTAGAGAAGAGGCACGGACTTCGCAATTCGTGCAGATGTGGGGTGGAGTGTAAAGAACAATTTTTCCAAACGAAAACGGCTTGGCTTCTGGGAAGGTGCAGGTGCTCTGGCGGATCGGAAAGTCATACTTCTATTGTGATGGAAACGACACACTGTTTTCCGCCATCTCCAGAGCAAGATCCGGTGGAGGCAGGCAGCAGTGAGTTTTGAGTAAAAGGGTCAAGCCCAGATATAATAAGGGATGGCCGTTGCGTCACGACGTTACAAAACCATGAGTCAGTAATACATTGTGTGTTGCGAATTGTGCGTAGCGGAAACCGTTTTACGGGATTGCGGCAAAAAAAAACATTTGCTTGTGAATAGAGTACCGTGATATGCAGGTGTAAGTACACCTCACACTACCTCTGGCAGAAGCTCTCATTAAGCTTGAAGAGTTATTTCTACCAGTTTATGTAAGAAATTACATCATCAGGAGCTGATCTCATTATCCGTCACGGATGAGCCCGCAATTGGGCAGGCCGATGGGTATAAAGTGAGAAAGATAATACAACTATCTTTATCAGTCCTGTAGATTCTTTTATCTTTTGCTGAATAGATACGACTACACAATGACGAGTGACTTGCCACTGGTACCACCCCCAGATCAGGAGATTGTTCATAGCATCGGATTTGAGCCAACTATTGCGTGACACAACACTGTCTCTTACCCAAGCACGTGTCAAATCTCAAAAAAAATAAAACATCCCCAGTCAGCATTGACTTTCTACGTTAGAGAGGGTAATAAATATTGGCATATTGGCGAGTCTTTGATAAGCTAAGCATAGCCGCACTTCGGCAAAATGTCATATACACATAACGAACGAACTGCAGGACAGCGTAGTCAGCTGTACTTTCTTCAAGGCTTTTGACTCTGGAATGGTCAGTATCAAGTGTTTGTGAGTAACAGCGATACTCCTTTCACTGTGGTGATCTTTCCAGGCGGGAGCTTTTGGGTCTGGTTGGTCATATTTTAGGCACCGACTAACACACCACTGCAATCATCCGGTGACACATCTGTTTAGGTCTCATCGTGTCATGAACAAACTTAACATTGCGATGATTTTGTCCATAATCGCGCAAGGCTCGGGACACCCGTATTTAATGCTTGCTGGTAGTACTTGAGTGTATTTGCTTATACAAGCTGCCAGCCAATTTAGACAGACGCATTTTGCCAAAAGAATTCCATTCAGGGATTCTTCGCTCAAGGCATGAGCTGTGGAGAGTTCTTACGGAGCAAAATAATTGCAGATTGATTGGCGCCTTTGCCTCGATTCGACATAACCAAAGGACCTGGTCGACCGCTTTTGGTCGTCATTGGAAGCTCATCAAGCCTAACTTTTGATATTCCAAAGCAATTGTGATCATCGCCTCATTTCCGCAGATATAATGATAATATGTTAGTATGCTGCGCAAAAGAGCTATATAGATGTGAAGTGCGGTGTTGAAGTCACATCAGAGATTTATTAATCTGTTTATATGAGCTACCATATGGTTTAGGGCGGTGATAACGGTTCTGAACCTCAGGGCACTGCGATTGTATGTTAAAAGCATAGCTTGGAAAGTGCAAAGGCTATGCCGCTCATCCTAGTATCATGCATACACTCCAACTCCCGGGGGGAGTCAACTTGTCACTACAACCATAAAATCACGAGAGAGTAGGCGTCAAGTTTTGCGGAAACTTCTTGACGAACAATACTGAGATCATTTTTATGGGGAACAGCTCGCGGGTCGTCAAATATACTACTGTTGTCACAGTATCTGGTAAGCTGGAAGAATTGCCATCACTACGGATTCTCACGGAGCTTGAAGGACTTAGTCAGCGTATTACCATTATATTATTGATGCTTTCGACTCTGCGCAACGTCTGTCATTCTCATCGAGAGAAGAAATATTATTTCTTTTGCTCTCATTATAATTTTATGTAAAAGTTAAATTTTTTAGAAACAGCGAATAAGGTGCGGCTCGAGCTGCGCACTTTTCACTAGCTAGTGACCAGACTAATTTAACGGTTGATACTTAGTCAGTCGCTTTACCAGCAGGCTCGTAAAAATGAGCAGGCTTAATAACAGCTAGGAATGAAAATGGCCTTTCATTCTGGCATCTTCTTTGCTGTATTACAGGTGAGACAACGTTTCTTTCTCCCCTAATGTGCGTATTGTGTACGAAACATCGCCTGCGGCGTTAAAGTAAACATGTTCCAACTTGCAATACCATTTGGCACGTTTTAGCAGCACAAAACCACCAATATTTTTGCGCAGTGGGATACAGATAATTATGAGCTTAGTGCCACGGGTTTTCGTTTGCCTAATTATACGTGCATTATGGTTGTATTTCTTGGCGATGCACTAATAGATGGTCACTTTGAATGTTCTGGATAGATTCCAGAAGATTTGTCGAACAATATGGAAGAAATGCAGCAGGGTTTTGCTGATGAAGCCACACAGATTGTACACCGAAAACTCTTTTAACATCCGCAGCAATCTAGGTCTGTCGTCGATCATTATTCCGAATGGTAATGAATAATCCACCGTCAAGCAGTACATAAAATATTCTAACATAAATTTTGCATCACGTGCTTATCTAATCGTGTATCATCCTGTCTCTCATGCGATTCAAAATCTCTTAACATTGACGTGGTGGTTTGAATCCAGTGTATTTCTTCAATAGGGTATGTACTAAACTATTGTGCACATACACCTAGCATTCTCGTACAATTGGGTGAAACAAAGGATCAAATCATAGTATGAAGCTCACAGTACACTTTTGCATAGTAATAAGTATCTAGAACATGGAAGCGTCGATCCTTATAAAACGATGCGACTCTAAAAAGAATAACTCACCGCTACACATGGGCTGTGGTCACCAGACAATTTTTTTTATTAAATATCATTGAATTGATCTTGTCCAAGTAGGTGTCAGTCGTTAAACAGCAGGTCAACTGAGACAACTCGTGACGGTAGAGGCTATCGGCTCTACTGTTTGAGGTGTTACGAATCAACCCTTGTGCATTTATTGATGCAGGCCCTTAGGGTCAAATTATCTCTGTGTAAGATGCACGGCAATCCCGTTGCACTTGGCAGCACTGGAAGCCAATACCCGAACAGATTATAGAAAACCCGTGCATGAAATCGATATTATTTAATGCCCGTTAGATAATTAGACATGCTTGGCTGGTAATGTCTCATATTGTTGTTGAAGGGGTCAGACAACTGGCAGTCCAAAAGCTGATAGCAGTGATTACGCACTTTGAAGCGTTCAACAGATCGAAAAGACGCTGGTATGAATCTTGTACGACTGGGTTTATGTGGGAACCAAGTTGGCACTCAACATGAGGTCACTGAAGTTGAGCGTCCAGCCATCTGAGAATGAAAAAATATCCCTCTTTAGATATGGGATTCTTTGATAGCCATGAATTTGGTCAGACCGTAGGAAAAGCGACAGCATTTTCGGGCTTGCGACTTGAGAAAAGAGGCCCAGTGCGAGAATCAGCACTATCGTCAGTACTGTAGAAGAGACATTATCAACATGGCTATATATGTCGCGGGTGTTTTACTGCCAAACCTGGCGAATTGGGTTAATCCATGGTTTTTGTTTACCAATGAAATATGTAAACGCTGGTGGAATTTATAAGAAATTTAGATTTTCTGCCGCAATGGAGGCAGATCATTTCCCAAGCGATGGCAATTACCATAGTCAATGAAAGCTGAAATAGAATCAATGCGCACTAAGCATGAATACGGCGTACAGGTTTTGCTCCAATTGGACGAAGAAGGGTATCGCAAAGAAGCGCTTGACGAGCGCAGCGAAGGCGATAAATTCCTCCATGTGAGAAAAAGAGAAAGTCTTCCTGGCTACCGAGCACTTGCAGTAATCTCATCTGTTGTAGTAAGATATATCTACAACTTTCGTTAATTTTCACACTCTGCTAAGAGAAAAAAAACATGCTCATGCGAAAGATTAGCCGACAAAAGCCCAGCGAGGAAACGCCGAGTCCTAGTATGCCACTGCAAACTAAATTGGTATTATATTTCCGCGTGGGGGTCGTGGCAACGGAACCCAGCCCTGATATAAGACATTTGCTAATAGAGGTTGGATTCAAAGTTCAGAGTTGCTGATTGTAAACATCCTATTTCTTGTTTTGTGACGCTGTGAAAAGTCCTGATTGATTCAGAAGCGTAGTGCGATAACGTATGACGGGCAGCTATCGAAAATAGAAGACAGCATTTAGCACGCCCAATGCGATATTTTTTCGTGTACACCGTGATAGATACACTGGTGAAAATGTCGAAGGCTTAGTTCAGCACTAGATCGATGTTTGGTGTCTTTGGTACTGTGGCAAACAATTACGCTTTGGCGCCTTAGCAAAGCTGCGACATCCTCCGTTTAGATCGTAGAAGTTCCAATACTGAAAGCTATATTATTTTCAGGCGCCTGGCTTAGAATTGGAAGAAAGAAGCGGTGGTGATATTGTGTATCGCAATCTACGGAGAATATTGATGTTGAGACGGGAATTAACATCCGAATGTCAATACCCCTTGAGTGGGAAGTAAATAACAGCTGTCAGTTAGAGTCTCATGTGCAAGGATAGGTGGAGTTCAAGCACGTATGTAATGTGCAATTAGAAATCAAATCTCTGAAGGTATTTTGGATGTATCATTTCTGCCATGAGAGCGGTTCTGATGTATCAGAACAAAAGGACTGCGCGATACAGTAAAGCTCCACGAGTTTGTGTCGAGAAAGGTTATCCAATCGTGAATAGAGACCCAATGAAGTCATGAAGGATTGAAAGTCCCTCTCTTCACAACCGGTGAACAGTCTGACTGAGCTGAAGAAAACATTCCACCGAATTTGTGCGAGTAATTTTAAGATGGTGAAGACACCAAAGTGGTACAGTTGTATAGGCTAAGCTGAGATTATCATGTATCATGCCTGAATAAGTCATTGAGAACTGTATTAAAGACAGCGAGCAAAGCTGTATTCTTGGGGATTCTATCAATACTTTTCATCCTTTGGTCAAAAATGGTCACGACGTGGTAACAAAAGAGCAATCACGCGTGTTACTTCAGCATCAAGGTGTGCGTCTCGAAATTACACGCATTCACAAATCACCACATACCGTCAGCCTGTCTGGCCCAGGAATCGACTACCGGTGGGCAGACATACATTTTCGCACACATCAAATCTACGTTGTGCTTTGCAGGATTAATAACGTCATGATGTAACACTGTCCCCTCGGTAACGACCATTGCTGTAAGGCACAAAACTTAGTCGCGCGAACAAAGTCAATAAGCAAATGCAACCACTAAGGTAGCTCAAAAGTTGCACTTCAGGACAGCATGGACAGGAGAATCACTATTGATTTCTAATGTATGTTATCAACTGCTCATAAGTGACAAGAATATCCCTCTCGCTGCGGTGATTATTCGGAGTGTAATGCTCTAGGAGTGTCTGCGTCGTTCAACAGAACTGTACGACGCACTTGCGACGTTCGATCGCCCGGTGACCCATCAATGCGGGCGTCATCGTGCGTTGAGACCAAGAGGATTTTATATGTCCATAGTTATGAAGAGCATAGTGATTCGGGTGTGGAGAACCATATTAAATACTTACAAGCAGTGCGAGAGTGTAGGGGCTTAAACAAGGTTTTTGCCAACATCGGCAAATGAGACTTTTGGTGTCAAAAAGCCATATTTGTAGCTGCTTTATTATTTTATGAAGCATAACATCCGAGCAGATCCCGCAGCGATAAAGATTGGCCTTAAATACTAATTTAGACTAAATTTAGAAATCGATATGATTTACCCAAATACTTGCACAAGTACAAAGCCAACAATGCCGGCATGGCACAACCCCTCATTATTAAACTTTAAAGTCTTTTCAAAAGAGCTAAAGTGCAGCAGACAAGGTTGCTTTCGGGGCTGAAAAGAAGAATATATATCTAATATGTTGACTCTTTCAAATTTAGTCTGACCATTTCAAGTCTCTGTGATACGTCAGCTTTTGTCGTTGGTTGCGTTTCACTCTAAGTAGATGCCGATGTGCGTGAGCACATGATTGTGTTTAAGTTTAGCTGCCTGAAGGCAGAAAAGAATTGTATAATTCAAGACGAGAAGATTTTGACGACAATGTCAAGCCCAGAGTTCGCCTGTCAAATTTTAGCCATTGGTGGTCTATACAAATCAGAATACGCTGCGTATGGCGACGTCGTCACCGATCCATCATAGAAAATGACGAAAAGGTGTCATGCCGTTTTGAGACTGTCTATGAGACAAGGAATATACTGTGTCGGTCAAATATGGCGGTGGATGCGATTTTGCGCCACCCTGACAAAAATCGTCACATGTTACAAAGGTATTGTCGCCTAGTGATGGGGAAATACGGGTCACCGCAGCGTGTTTTACATTGCGAAAATCAGTTGGATCAAGTTTTCTGGATGTTTCTTCGAAGCGCGCGTTTGCACGCTTGCACCGCTATTTCTCATCACGAAGCTTGCTATCCACACCATCATCCCACATAACTATTATCGTTAGTAGTGCCTTTTAAGGAGTACCTTAGAACTGTAGGAGGCAAACGATACCCTTTTAGATGGCCACCTCGCATAAAAGAATATGCGAAACATTTTGCGCTATGTATTGGTGGTTCAACATTTGACTGTGGGGAGACGTATATGTGCGCACGCATAGATCGTGTGAACGGCTTGAAGAATCGCTGCATGCATCGGTGTCCTACTGATCCTCCGAGTATTGGCTGTGTATTAGTGTGTTTTTAACTCATATGTAAAAGCTGATGACGCGTCCAGTACTACCAGCAGCATATTTGTTGACCATCAGAGCATGATGGCTCGCGTAATACTGGATTTGCAAAAAATTAGACTTGCTACTCCTTGACAGATCCAATGGCCGTTATATCAGATAAAGCTTCGACCTTTGCACCAAAAATTTGGCGAAATCTACACAGGATGTAAGCCACCACTTTTGACATGTTAAGTGCCAATTATGAGGTCAGATGAAATGCGTTGTTCGCGTGGTGTTGGGCATCCTCCAAATCGATTGACCAAGGAGATTGCAGCGCTGGATCGAATCCGAACGACTCTTTAGATTGTTCCAAATAATGTAGTGCATACCAATATTAGTTTTACTTCATTTCGAGAAACAGATGGTTTACCCTCTGGTTCCTTTGACACCGTCACGAAGTGACAGTAGCCGAAATGAAAAAAGTCGTAGATTTACTTCAAGTTTTAATGCCGGCCTAGTTACATCTCGTAGCAAATTTAGCGAATTATCTGAACCATATTGAAGCGTCACGTGCAAGATGCGCGACGCCATTACGAAGAGCTAAAAAAACAACACAACGATGTTAAAGCAGGCGAAATGTGTTGTGTGGCAGAAAATACTATGCACCCGTTAAATGGTCTATAAGATAAGTTGCGAACACGCTACATAGAACCGTTCACGGTTATAGCGATGATGATAATGAGTTTTGCTCTGATATTACCATTCAGGTATAACCGTGATGCGGCTTCAGGAGCCTGACTATGGTAGTGCAGCCGGAGCAGCGTTTCTACCATAATTTTGGACTGATGGATTCTCTGTCTTTGAGCAGCGACACGATTCGAAGCCACTAGGGGTGTCTCGGTCACGCAGGGCGATGACAGAGTCTAGAGGGAGAATGTCATCTTATTATCGGACGCATGCCAAGACTTCCAAGACAGTTAACGTTCTACTGCTGAGACAGATCACTTGATCTAGTCAGATGGGTGGCCAACTTTCATCTGGAATATTAAGTGGGCGGACAAATACACCAGAGACGTTACCCAAACCCTTTCTGAAGCGAATGGAATTCACACATTCGGAAAGCTGAGGAGACCTCAGAATCCACTTTGGCAAGGCTTCCTTGAATCTGTCGCCACTTACGACCTGGCGCGCCAATGCACTTTATCTTTTCTCGAGGTAGGACCGCTTATCCACAGCGTCTTTGTTAATGGTGAGTTTATACCGACCTTGTGCTTAGATAAACACTTGATCAGTAGTAATTACAGCATGCCTCATGAATATGAGCTAGAAGCTGGAAAAGGGTGAATTTTTGTCGACGCCCGCTTCACTGAGGCTGGTTCGTCGTATTACCTCACCCAGTGCACGAGTTGAGTAGGGGAGAGTGCAACGGGGTACGTACTACAATATTCACTCATCAAGCAACAATAAAGACATTGAGGTTAAGAGAATTGACTGAGCGTACATATCTGGTTTCAGTAGAGTTAAATATTTACTCTTGAAATAGCAGAGGCAACTAGAGACCCAGATACAAGTGAGACTTCGAATCCTCCTTCTGGGTTGAGCGTACAAAACTAGCTTCCGTGCGTTGGTTACCACTTTTGATCAAAAGCATCTCTGTGCAAGGTGTACGGCAATCATGTTATGATTTCCCTGTTTGTCACATTGCAGGTTGCGATGTATAAGGCAGTCTATTTAGTATTCACTTCAATGAGACTTGATTTCGAAAATACATATACTTCTGAAACGGAGCTAGCCAGATAACTAGTCTTGCTTGAAGCTTTTGGTTCCATTCCACCTGGTTGTAAGCTAAATCTTGACCTCTGTATGTTTATTGACGTCAATTTTGCGCAAAGGCTTTTTCTCTGCATAGTGCACTGCAACCCGTTTCGATCGGTTTTTGAGCTTATATTTTTTGCGTTTGAAAGCGCAAACTCTCCAAGTGGAATTTCCTCTCCGTGAAAAGTTTCACATCAGTGTATTCAATCTGATCCATAATGTATAGAAACCCCTCACTGCAGGCGATTCTTTGTAAGCAATTCCGCTTTATTGTAAGATGCGACTTCGTTTTTGTAGGTGTCTTCTTTAGATTTTTCTGGTTGTGTGGGCCACAATATTGTATTTATATACAAAAAATACGAACAGGATGACATACGCCATGACGATGTCACCTTTCGAACACAATGTGAGTATCGACGATGAAAAAGTGCTCATTACTCCGAACCATGCAGCCGCATCTCTCACTTCAGGTCAAGATAAAAGCTCCACAACTGAACCTTCCGTACAACGTTTTTCGTGCTGCATTATGTGGTCTCCGATCCCGGTACTCACCTGGTTTCTGCCGTTCATTGGACACATGGGCATCACCGATAGCAAAGGGTAGGACCTTGTCGATTTCTATGTAAGATTTTGATTAGTCATGACAAAATTTGATCGGATAGGGTCATTTTTGACTTTGCAGGTCCCTACACTATCGGCCGCGACGACTTTGCGTTCGGCGCGGCCACGCGCTATCTGCAGTGCAGGGTTGAGCCTAAATATACAGACAAGTGGGACCAAGCAGTTGCTGTGGGCTGTCAAATTTATAAAGAGAGGATGCACAATTTGTTCTGTGATAACTGTCACTCGCACGTGGCTGTGTGTCTAGAGCACGCTAATTACGCCGGTCGACAGCAGTGGAATATGGTAGAGCTCTGCTTTTGGATGTTTTTTCGTGGGAAATATGTGAGCCTTGCCGGATTCGTCAAGTCATGGCTTCCATTTACCATCCTTTTGGTGTTGATTGCTGTTGCACAATCGACATGATGCTAAATTTCCCCCTACCTGCAAAATACATTCAAGCTTTTGCTGTGAAAGCTGGCAAAATCAACTGTGAGAACAAGTTTTGTTTGATAGATGATTATTCAATTATTTCGTATTTATAACCAATCTCCATCACTTCCGTCTCTTCCATTATCATTGTAATTAAAGTTGACATGGCAGACACCGAGGGGCCAGCCGATGTGTCGTTGTCTGCGCCGATACCTCACAAAATAGAAGCAAGGAAATTTCAGCAGGTAAAGCAAAAGGTCACAGAAGAGCAAACGCAAGGAGAAGAAACTGAAAATTTGTTAAATCGGCACAGCTGGACGTTCGAAAGTTCTCATAAGAGTGGTGATGAAGAGGATGACGGCTGGATGCTAGCTGCACGTCGATATGCAAACGAAATCTCACAAGAATTAACAAAAGATGATGAGGCAGATGTAGAAGCCAGTGTTCGTGAGGCTTTGCGGCTATTGGAGGACTCTGGAGAGGGTGAGGACGACGAGAGCGGAGATGACCAGTGTAGTAGGAATGAAAAAGCTCCTGTCGGCTACTTGGACTTTGTGCAGGAAGTAATGGAAGAAAGATGGACATTGGAGGATAGAGTGGGACAGCTTGGTCATTGGAAAACAACTATGGAGCAAGTGAACACAGACGTAGAGGACGCGGAGGAGCACGCAGAAAAAGAACACGAGATTGTCAATGAGAACAGCATGGAGAATAAAGAATCTGCGGAAGAACAGACAGATGAATGGCTGGAAGCCTACACGGCTAAAGGTCGAGTGTACTACTATAATCGACGTTCACGCGAATCGTCTTGGAAAAAGTACGTTAGTTTCTGAAAATTTGAAAGCACTAGGTGCTGACACGTTTTCGCTTTCTAGGCCGTGTCAATTTGATTCCAGTATAAGTGAAGCGCAGCGTATCGTTAGTTTTACCGACGAAAATGTGAATGTTCAACGCTCTGTATTGAGTCAAAGTTTGGGCTATCACCCGTCAGCTTCACTTTCACTTCCGCCAGTTTCGACAATCGAGCGCTCGGCAATCTTGTACTGCAATTTTTGTGGTGAACAGCAACCTGTGGATCAATTCGCTGAACATTTCCATGAATGCGCGTCGGTACAGTTTCACAAACGACGGATGTCTCCTTTGTATCGAAGCTTTGAGCGTGCAATCGGTATAATGTCCGAAGATTCAACGTTACGTTCGCTTCACTACGCTTCGTCATTCCCCGATCCTAAACCGCATATAAGACCGGAAGCTACGACGATGCAAGATAGCTTGTTGCTGCTACGACCACGGCGTGTGCGAGACCCCAATTCTACCGATAATAGACCAGTGAACCAACAAAGTAATCACTTGAAAACCCAAGGAGCAGCAGAAAACGCTGTAGACCAAAAAGCAAAAAGAAAGGCTATAATGTACCCATCACGCCACACCAACGACTCAAAATCAGCCAAAGAATGGAAACAAAATATGTCTAAACGAACGACATTTCAAGCTACAAACAGTGCAAATTTAGAAAGCCCTACTCCTTACAATATGGAGACGTGTCGGTATTGCAACCGAAGTTTTGCTGAAGGTCGTCTCGCTAAACACGAGGCTGTTTGTCCCCGTGTCTTTGGTAACGAAGGCTCTTGGGGACGGGGTACACCGTCGAGCTTGTCCTCCCCATTAAAGTCAAGGGGCGCACGAGTCACACCGTCGCTGAATTCAACAGGCTCAACGACATCTAAGTTACACAAGATGAAAGATCACACGCTACAACAAAGCTTTAAAGAACATCAAGCCACTCTCGTGCTTTGTCCATGCTGTCACCGAAAGTTTGCACCTTCGGGTGCCCAGCAGCACATTGCAATCTGCAAAGGAGTACAAAATCGCCCTAAAAACCCTATCTCAATGCTTCGAGACTACGCAATCGCAGGGTAGTCAAACATAGATATTAGACGTTTGTACTCATTTATCGTTAAGTTAACAAAGCAATGCAACGCCATCACACATTTCAATTGACGGTGTGCGTTTCAATTACGGTCGGAATCCAGCATAAGCCTTTTCCAAGATGTCCTTTCGAATTTTGGGATAGTCTGGGTACTGATCAAGTACCTTGTTGCAAATATTTACAGCAAGAACAAGCTTCTTGGCCTTTAAGTAGTTAAAAGCAAGCTTGAAACCGATCGCAGCACTTGCTTCACCCTCGCACGTCCAAGCTTCCTGGTAGCACTCTGCTGCGTCGATAAATGATTGCTCTTTCTCCATTACGAGTCCAAGCAACTCCCAAGCCTTTCCAGATGACTTATTGTGCGTAAGTGAGCGTTTGCATAATTCCTGCGCTAGGTCAAATTTGCCCCGATTGATGTAAATATCTGCCAGCAAGAGATAGCTGCGTTCAAACTCATCAGCAAGCGTTTGGTCGTACGGCATTTTGGCAATACGTTTAAGCTGATTCCGTGCTTTCGGCTGCTGTTTAGTGAGCATGTAGCCTGTCGCGAGTCCAAGGAGTGCAGGAACGTAATCGCGGTCGACTGTCTCGAGAATCTCTACAAAAAGTTGAATAGATTTATCCAGCATGCTCTTGGTTCGACCGGCAAGTACAGCATAGGCTTCAAGCACGCGAAGTTTGGCATCGCGTTCACTTCGAGCAATCGGCAGCTCGTCGAGAAGCGTGTTGGCAATCCGCAAGTTATCAGCCTGTTCCTTGGTGTTATCTTCAGTGCCATCATGACCAGAGTCCCAAAGACTTTCATTGTCAGGATTGAGGTAGATCTCGATCATATTTATAAGCGCCCGTTCGCCCCATTCTGGATCACGACGAGCGCGATTAAACTCGTCGATGGCTTCAAGCACATTATTGCGAAAGCGTGCATACAGTCCTTTGCAAAAATGAAGTCCTGGAGCATGTGCGACATGAGCGTTGGCACTACGTTCAGCAAGGCTAAGATAGCGCTGTGCTACTCTCCCCTGTTCTTTGTCAGTCGAAGACGTGTGCAGCTTTCCTGCTCGACGAAGCATGACAAGTAGCCGACTAAGTGCTGCGAAATTATTCGGACGACTATCGAGAAGCTGCTGAAAATGGTAAATGGCAGCCTCATTGTCCTCTTTCTGTAGTAACAAATCGGCAAGCATGAGAGCAGCTTCTTCGTGAGCCGGATTAAGTCGCAGCAATGTTAGACAACGCATTTGACATTGGCCCAAGTCACCAATTTGCTGATACGCGCGAGCCATATACAACAGTGAATCCTCATGGCTTTCGTCCGACTGTAGCGCCAATGTACAATACTTAATGACATTGTTGCTTTCGCTATTACTTGACGCGTTGGAATATATGGCAGCAATCTGAAAGCAAGTTTCCGCGATAGCAGCTCGCTGTTTATTCAGCACATCAGGTTGTTCGTCTTTTTGGCGGTCCAAAACTATCTTTTGGATGGCATAAGCTCTCATAAGCGCCTGGACTGCCATGTCATCACTGCCTAGGCCACAGTAAATTTTTGGCAAGACTAGCTGCAGATCGACGAATGGCAAAAGATAGCTCAAAGCCTCGGAATCGCTGGTAGCTGCTTGCTGAACGACGAATAAAGCTTGCTCGAAGTGACGAAGTTTGATGTACAGCTCTGCAAGATCTTTACGCAACACAAGATTTTCTGGTGCCATTTTCAGTGCTGACTCGTAGTAGTCTACAGCTTTGAGGTAATCGTGCTTGGAGATAAGTACGCGTCCAATACGGCCTGCAATCGTCGGGTCACTTGGACTTAAAGCCTTAGCGCGCTCAAAAGACTGCACAGCTTCATCTAGCATCTGAATGTGCAAGTATGCCTCGGCCAAGCTTATGTGCGTTGCTTGGCAAGGATTTTGCGCTACAAGCTCCTGATAACAGCGTACATATAGATGCTTGTCTTTGCGGTACTGAAGAAAAATGTCCGCCTTGACCGTTTGTGCCTTTGTAAACGCTGGAGAGTCCTTGGGGACACTGCTGAGCATTCCAATCGCTGCATCGTAGTCGCCACGTTTGACAGCAAGCTCACTGTTGGCAACCAGTACGCGTACTTCTTGTGCTGTGCCACGAAAGACGTCCAGTGCCTCGCGTACAGTCTTTGTGGCTCCTGGGAGATCATTGAGCTGAGAGAGCACTTGAGCCATGTTGATATACAGAGAAGCCTTATCAAAAGGTGATATAGTGCTGGTGCTTTCTGCAACGTGTTTCGGTTGACGATTCAAACTCGACGAGCTCCCATTATTTTGTATCATTTTCATCGCCGTCTGTAGAGTCTGGAGCGCATCACGCACATTGCCTGCATGTTCAAGAATACGCGCTCTGATTATATAATATGAAAGCGATTGGCGAACTGAAAAGTCGTAGCTCAGAGCCCGATCCAGCGATGCTGAGGCTGCCCGAAAATGTCCTCGCTCGAGACTCACTCTAGCATGCATAAGATGTGCTTTGGAGTGCCCAGGCTCCATTTTCAAGATCTTACTAGAGACTTGATAGGCATCATCTAGCCGCTGAGCGTCAAAGTAAGCCTGAGAGAGCACAAACTGAGTTCGTAAAAAGCCAGGTGACTTGCTTACAACCTTTTCGAGAATATTGATGCCCTCAGAAGCTGCATCCGACAAGTTGTCATTCAAGTTGCCTTTCTCTTGTTTATCATCTCGGAAAAATTCCATTGCCACCTCTACAAGAAAGATCGGGTCGAGCAGAACCATCATATCATGGCTAGAGACGTCAGGTCCTTTAATTGTCGTGTTAAGCTTGTCCATATGAATTTTCATGGATTGTCGTAAGTAATTCACCTGTTTGACTCGGTCACGGTCTTTCTCCCAACTAAGTAAAGCTTGGAGGAAAGTAAAGCTGGCGCTAGCCCCTATAGATTCCTGAATTAAGCTAAGAAACTCCATCTGTTGAGAGGCATCCTCAAGCTGTCCAAGCTTAATCTGGCAGTAGATCATTCCGTGTAATGCCATTTCATTTGACTCGTCCAGCTTCAGGGCTTCTTTGTAAGATTCCATAGCTTCCGCAAAGTCGCAAAGTATTCCTCGCTGATACCCTCGCTCAGCACGAAATGCTCCACTTTCGGGTCTTAATTGAATAGCATGCTCCATCAGGTCTAAGCTACACTGCAATACTTCCACATCTCTATCGGAAACGTGGGCAATGGAGCGCGAGATTTCAAAAAAAAGGTCGGGATTTGCTGGTTCAGTTCGCTTTAGAGCATCAAGCAACTCGCGAATACGCTCTGCACCTTCGCGGGTACGACCTTCACGTGATAAAAGGAGCAAAATCATGATACGCAAAGCCTCAATATCATGCGGATTTTCACTCAGAGCTCGCTCAACACTGTCCATGCATTGGTCCCAGTTGCCCATTTTGAGCAGAACCAAAGCTTTCTCACATAATGAATGTTTAAACCATGGAAATTCCACAATGAGTTCGTCAATGTGTTCAAGAGCGCGGGGGTACGCTTTTTTCAGGTCATAGTACTTGGCTATACCCAGCACAAGCTCCGCATCCTTGCGGCTAGATTACATGAACAGTAATGTCAGTGCGCAATTTGATAAGGATATAGAGTAATTACGTACTCTGTGACTAGATCAAAGTACCGGATAGAACCATCTCGCAAGTCGCTCTCGCGTTCAAAGATGGGGTCAACAGTAAGGTCAACCCATCCTCGAAGAATAAGAGCTCGCTGACAGAGAGCATTATCACTGCTATTTGGACGGTCGGCTCTAAGAACGCGGTCGAGAAATTTGCGAGCCTTACCACGCTCGCCCAAGTGCCAAAAGAAAGTGGCACACAAAATCAAGCTCTCGATGGACGCATTTTCCTCAACTATTACTAACTGTAGCTCTAATTGTGCCACTTCGTCATGGTCAACGTGTTTGCATTGTGTATGGGCGTAGATTAATGCGTAAAGACATGGCAGCTCCACTCCTCGCCCTGTTTGCTTCAAATTCCCGAGTTCTCGAATGCCAGACGAATAGCTGCGCTCTAAGACGATGCCAAAAGCGCGCCAGAACAAAATAGCCGGGTCATTGCCGTTTCGCTCAAGAATCTGCTCACAAAAGCGTTGTACATGGTCGTACCAGCCTTTGCGAAGGTAGTAGTTGATCAAAACGCGAAAATCCATGGCAATACTCGTGGCGATTATATGTGTATCTGAAAAGATCACGACTCTTCATCGAAAGCTCAATTATTTACCTAATACACCACTTCTTGAAAAAGGTTACATCTGCAACAGTCAGTGCCCTATAAATTTCCAGCCAAGCTCGGGGTTAGAAATGTTGAAGTATTAGCACTGTTAAAGTTTGTTAATAGATCTAGGTTTAAGATAACGTAGATATAATCACTAATTGAAGCCCTGATACTTTAAATATCATCGGGCACTGCGCACGACACGCAACTATCGAAATTGAAAGACAATACACAAGGTGCTGAACACGAATACGATATCCGTGCTTCTTGCGACGCGAATAACAGTTAAAGTGCCAGCCTCTTTTCAGCTTCGAGACTTGGCTACGCAGCATCAGGTAAAGTGGAGTCCCTATCGGAGTGATATGTTTTAAAAACTTACTAAACAGGTTTGTTTACTTACTGTTTAATTATGCTGAATTCGTAATCGATCACTTCTCATTACGAGCAAAGATGTAATTATCACTGGATAATTCTCTCAGTTCGAGACTGTCGTGTTGACCGATCAATCCATGCCCTGTGCGCTGAATTACGCTGTCTATTACACATGTTGTGTGAGCCACATACTTTAGTTTGTGGTTAGCATTACCTATCAGCTGTAAATTCCCAAATCTGTTTTATCAGAATTGGAGGCTGTAACGGGGTTACACCACCCTGTAACAGATGTGTGTGTCACACGAGATGGGTATTGGTGTGGCTGCACCCAAACAAGAATACGGTATGTGGCTAGGAAGCCAGTAGATTTAGACTATACTATATATTTACGAAAATCTATACATTTAAAATTAGGCGGCTTTGCCGCAATTAAAAATAAATAAAAATCAGTTTTGATTTTTGAGCAAAAGTTAATTAATTAGCCTTTTTTAAGGCAATAATTATTATTGGAGC